AAAGGGCTATGTGCGGTCGAGCGTTATCGTGAAGCAAAATTACGTCTCGGATTGGAGTTTGGCGTCTTTTAGATCTGTACGCGGCTTTTGCATCGTCCAAAAGCTGGCAGTAGTATGGAGCATTTACAGTATGACGTTCATGAAGAAGTCGACAAGCAATATTCTCTCTCCAGTCCAAAAAAAAAAAAAAAATGGTTGTGAGGACTAAGGTGACTCTCATTTTCAACATTTTCACGCCCCTCCTTAAAATTTCTGGACCATTCGTACACTTGAGTTTTTGACAACGTTTCTTCCCCGAACTGTGCAAGCAATTTGGATACAATTTCGGAGGATTTGACGCCCTCTTTTGCGAGAAATTTAATGATAATGCGTTGTGCAACCGACGCTGGCACCGCTTGCTTCGACATGATGCTACTGCTCATTGCAAAAAGATATCGGCTGCCGCTATGGCCACATCTCTTCTCTACATTCCTACCTTCATATTCTATTTATGGCAGCTTACTAGAATTAGTACAGTTTTCGAAAAAACAGAATTCCGGTTCATAATTGACTGACCCTCGTATTATCCATTCACGATCTTGATTTTGGAAAAGGACATATTTTCTAAGAAAATAAAGTGCGGGTGGGTGGGGTTAGTATTTGTCATGATCAGAGTGATTTTGGCAAAGGACTTGCTCTCTAGGAAAATAAAGGGCGGGTGGGTGGGGCTAGTACTTGTCAAGATAAGACAGATTTTGGAAAAGGACCTATTATCTAAGAAAATAAAGGGTGGGTGGGTAACGCTACCTCAGTCTCTTTCAAAAATAAAACATCAGGGACTTCCAGGGTTTTTTTAAAAGTCTTTCAAAATCAAACGATCAGGAACCTCTAAAGTTTTTTGAAATTTATTACGAAAACCCACCTGATATTTTCAAATTGATGACTTTGAGATTAAAAAAAAAAAATTAAAAAAACACTTCAACGTCAAAATTGGCCTGTTAAAAATGATAAATCACCTTATAATAATTTAAAAAACAAAATGTGGGGTGAAACATACCATTTTATTATTTATTACTACTAATTTGTCCCTTTTTTTGGTGTTAGATATTTAATTTTATAGGATTTCATACTCCTGCATGTATGATTCATCAATCCGTGTCGACTTTTCACCAGTTTGATCTTAGCAGGTACTAGCCCCGCCCACCCACCCTTTCTTTTCTTATAAGGTATGTCACTTGCAAAAATCACTTTTACCTTAGCAGCTGCTAGCCCCACCCACCCGCCCTCTCTTTCTTAGAAAGTATCTCATCTGCCAAAATCAATCTTTTCTTAGCAGGTACTAGCCCCGCCCACCCACCCTCATTTTTCTGAGAAGATTGGGTCATCTGCCAAAATCAGTCTGATCTTATCAGCTACTAGCTCTCCCTCTCTTTTCTTAGAAATTATGTCATTTGCCAAAATCAGTTTTATCCTAGCTAATAGCTGCTAAGCTAAAACTAATTTTGGCAAATAATATAGACTCTAAATAGAGAAAGAGTGGGTGGGCGGGCCTAGCACCTCCTAAGGTAAGACCGATTCTGGCAGATGAAATACATTGTAAGAAAAGAGAGGGCGGGTGGGTGTGGTACTAGTAGCTGCTAAGATAAAACTGATTTTAGCAGATACTAGCTCCACCTACCCGCCCTCTATTTTCTTAGAGAGATCTCATTTGTCAAAATCAGCCTTATGTTGACAGCAACTAGCCCCGACCACCCACCTTCTCTTTTCTTATAAGGTATGTCACTTGCAAAAATCACTTTTATCTTAGCAGCTGCTATCCCCACCCACCCGCCCACTCTTTCCTTAGAAAGTATCTCATCTGCCAAAATCAATCTTTTCTTAGAAGGTACTAGCCCCGCCCACCCACCCTCATTTTTCTTAGAAGATTGGGTCATCTGCCAAAATCAGTCTTATCTTATCAGCCACTCGCTCTCCCTCTCTTTTCTTAGAAAGCATGTCATTTGCCAAAATCAGTTTTATCCTAGCTAATAGCTGCTAAGCTAAAACTGATATTGGCAAATGATATACACTCTAAATAGAGAAAGGGTGGGTGGGCGGGCCTAGCACCTCCTAAGGTAAGACCGATTTTGGCAGATGAAATACATTGTAAGAAAAGAGAGGGTGGGTTGGTAGTGTACTAGTAGCTGCTAAGATAAAACTGATTTTAGCAGATACTAGCTCCGCCTACCCGCCCTCTATTTTCTTAGAGAGATCTCATTTGCCAAAATCAGTCTTATGTTGACAGCAACTAGCCCCGACCACCAACCCTCTCTTTTCTTAGAAGGTATGTTATTGGCCAAAATCAGTCTTATCTTAGCTAGTAGCTGCCAAGATAAAATTGCTTTTATCAGGTACTAGCTGAAAATGAAAATCTAGTGAGTTTGTTGGTATTCGATGCTGAAGAATAAAAATTCCCTGAACTTTTTTCGTTAGGTTATGTTTTATTCAATTAAAGGTTAAAAAATATGCCAGAAATATAAACATTGTTGCCGATACTTTCGTTTTTTAGTAGCAATGACCAAGTTAACGGTATCCATTTCTTAGAAGGCATAAAACTTTACGCTATTTAAAACAGATATTCGGCTTTTTGTAAGTGTTTATTTCATATGTAAGGAACAAACACTAAAATTTCACTTAAACATTGTTTTTATATGAATGGCGGTTCTACATACGACTATTGTCGCATGCCACATTTAGCATCTCATCTTTAATTCTCAATCATCAGTTCGTTCTGCTCGCCTACTCTTCTTAGAAATGGAAATTTCGACGTTTGTCAACAGCCTATTTCCATATCTTCCAACTTCTTTTTTCACTTTTTTAAGATTACTAAAAGGATTGGTAAAAGACAACAATCTTGCTCTAGTGCTTTGATGGGTTTAGCTCTTCTGAAACATTTTTCCGGCCTTTAATTGAATGATTTATCTATATAGCTATTACTAATGCTTACGTAAGTGCTCTTAATTTGCTTTTACTAAGTACTTCCAAACGCTTATTAATAAGAACGTTACTATATGCCTTCTCCAGGTCCATGAAGAGTTACAAAAAAAAATGAAAATGCTTAAAATTTGGAGCAAAGTAACAACGCGGATGATCTAACTAAAATTATACTTATTTTGTTGTACGTCAGGTAGTTGTTCACATACTACCTTGGTAAATTTAGAAGGAAAGATGCGTAAAAATATCACCCCCCGACAAGCTACAATTCACTCCATTTCCATTATTTCGCTATGAAAATCTGTATCATCACCGTCATTTTCAAATTCAGATTCTGAATCAGATTCACCTAGCGCAATAATGAAAGGAGGTATAGATTCGTACGAAAGATTTCCCATATTTTTTCCCAATCTGCCAAAATAAGTTTTCCACAATGTTTACAAAAATTTTGCCACATTCTTGAAGTACATTTAGAAAGCGCCTCAAGCCATAAATTCTCCACCCTATTTTTTAATGAAGGTTGAGAATTTATATGCTTGTTGTAATAGTTCTTACAAAATTCCCACGCCATTTCAATTGGATTATATTGACAATGGTACGGAGGTAATTTAAGAACTTCATGGCCACTTTCTCTTAATGTCTCGTCTACCAAATATCTTTTTTTTCTATTGTTTCTGAAGGGTTTAATTAAATCCCACAACTGTTTCTTCGAAAATTTTTTGGCAAATTCAACACTATGTTTAAAGAGTCATTCCTGCATTTCACATTTTTTACTAGAAAAAGTGGGTGGTTTATCCAACTGAATCGAATGATACGGTGCATTGTCTTAAACCACCACACATTTTTGGTTCAACTTTGCCAAAGCAGGAATGAGCTGATTAACCACCCAATTTTGAAAAATTGTCCCGTCCATCGTTTTATGATAATCTCTATCGTTATTTTTTAAATTTAAAAAATTGTTACAACCATCCAAGAACCCCGTTGAACAACTCGCGTGGAGAATAGTAAACCTTGATCTTTCACTTTTAATTTTGGTGGGATTGCTTTAGATCAGTATCGTGCACCCAGCGACGAATGCACGAACCATTTTGATAGATCCATGTTTCATCCAAATACACGAAAGTCAAATTTTCACAAGAATTTAGAAACTGTAAATATGTTCTCAAAAAAGTAATTTTACCTACCTGTCGGCGGCGTCTTTAAATTTTTATTTGAAAATTCGGTGTGCGAAATGAAACTTGAGATGTGCGAAATGAATACAACGTTCAAGACGTGTTTGATAAAAATTCCCGGACAACTAAATCGGAGCCACCTTAACCACCCTTTCCCTCTTCGCTTTCCTCAATCAAAACAACACCTAACGAGCGTCACTTTTCTCCAGACCCCCACCTTATTAAACGTGGAAACATGCAACAAACCGCGCTAAACCCACCCATCGTAAAAATTCAAGCACCCGATATCAATTATTGTTGTGGCTCTCGTTTCACATTTGCTCGTGGTGCAGTTCGTTTTTACGGATGTTTAGATGTGAAAACGTCGAAAATGAATCAGTGGTGTAAAATAACGAAGCTCGTATGGACCAGTTGAGCGCATTCCACAATAACGAGATCAATTAATGGGTTCTGAGAGGGCACAAAAGTTCGGATTTCTCGTACATATGCATGTGGAAGGGGCGCTTTTTGCCAACGCCATTGGTGAATCGAGTGGTAATCGTTGCATAAAGACCGCCTCGAGGGAAACTAGTTTTCTTGTATTGAAATGAAATTGAAACAGCTTCGGGCTCCTCTTACCGTCACAGATTACAATGGCTACTGTTGACGGCTTGTCAGACCCTGCAATTTGCTACCACTTTTTAAGCCGATGATTGTATGTGCTGACACTAGTATCACTGTAATATTGCTTGCAAAGCTTGCGCGGATGGTAGTTGAGATGGGGAGGTTTTGATACCGTTGCGACGGCTAGGAGGTTTCGGATTGCTGAAACCGGCGGGGAATAAAATTGTTAAAAATATGTATGAGTGATCAAAGTATAGTTGAAAAAACAAACAACACCACAACTGTCATACTACAACCACAACATTCAAGATGTCGTTCCTGATCAAATCCGCCCCCTTACGCCACTTCCCTCTGCACCCCCTCGTCCTCGCCCCTAAACGCACCCACTGGAACAAGGACTACAAGCCTGGTCCATACCCATACAGCATGGAGGAGAAACGTCTGGCGGCCGAAAAGTACAACCTTCATCCGGCTGAGTACCGAGCTTACCCGGACGACGGATTCGGCCGAGGAGACTACCCCAAACTCCCAGATCTTGGTTACGAGTCCAGGGATCATCACTACCCGTGGGACAACCCAGAACACTTGCGCAATTTCGGCGAACCTCTTCACGCAGAGTTCGGTTTGGTGAGGCAAGATCGGCTGAATGTTGGCGTGAAAATGAGGTACCCGTTGTGGCTGCAAGTTCTGCAGTTTTTTGGAGCCATGTTGGCTTCAGCTGGACTTTTTTGGTTCTTTGAGAAGTTTAAGGCCTTTCATCCCGTAATACCGACGCAGTGTCCGGAGGACGGAGTGACGCACTACACGTTCGAGCCGGAAGAGGAAGGAAAGCCAGGAAAGAGTAAATGAGTGCAAATATATTCTTCTAACGGAACATTTTTTTGTAAAAGTAAAGTTTTGGTAATAATAAAAATTCACACATTTTTTGTGATGTGTACTAATAAGATACAGATGTTTTCTGCGTTCAAGTCGAGTGAATAAATTTTCCCCACTTGTTGGTCCAACTCCAGAAAACGTGCGTCATCTATGAATAAAAAACTGAACCTTAGATAATCGATGCCCGGACTATTGCAGCGACCTGTGTATTTCTAATTCGGAAAGAAGACGCGACGTCATTAAATATGTATATACAACCAATTATACACAAAATTGACCCTAAAGGTCCATCTATAAACCTTTTTTTCTTTATATGTGTATTCATCTTTTCACAACAAGAAACTTAAAACATGTTTAAAATGGTAAATTTGTATAGGGAAATATCGATTTCACAATTACGCTCCGCCCCTCGGTCCGACAACGAATGAAAAATTCATCACAATTGAAATCGACACGGATGGGTGGGGCTTCTCTTTTGGTTTTCTTTTTTAATGATTAATACATTAGTTTTCTCTGTATAGTACGATTACTTAAAAATATATTTCACATGGTAATTTCTCGTAGAAAAATAACGATTTTACAATTCACCTCCGCCCCTAGGCTTATGACGAATAAAAAAAGCATCCGAATTGAAACAGGGCGGGTGGGTGGGACTATATTTTGACTTTTTTTTTAGAACATAGTTAAAATGGTACATTCTTACAAGAAAATATGGATTTTGAAATTATCGGGTGGAGTCTATTTGCAAAATTGAAAATTTGTATAAGGAAATATCGATTTTGCAATTAGGCGCCGCCCCATAATTACAAAATCGATATTTCTTTCTACAAATTTTCCATTTTAAACATGTTTTAAGTTTCTTGTTCTAAAAAGACGACTACGTCTATTAAGAAAAGAGGCAAAATATAAGCCCCGCCCACCCGCCCTATCTCAATTGTGATGATTTTTTTTTATTTGCCGTGAACCAAGGGGGCGGAGCTTACCTGCAAAATACTTATTTCTTTACAAGAAATTAAAACCATGTTTTTGAGTAGCGTGTTCTTCATTAATTAAGCTCTGCCCCTCATCGGCTTACGATGAATAAAAAAATCATCAGAATTGAGATAGGGCGGGTGGGCGGGGCTTATATTTTGCCTTTGTTTTTCTTAATTACACAGCCATCTTTTCACAACAAGAAACTTATGGTTAAAATGTTACATTTTTGCAAGGAAATATGGATTTTGAAATTATCGCGTGGAGTCTATTTGAAAAATCGAAAATTTGTATAAGGAAATATCGATTTTGCAATTAGGCGCCGCCCCATGATTAAAATCGATATTTCCTTGTACAAATTTTCCATTTTAAACATGTTTTAAGTTTCTTGTTCTAAAAAGACGACTATGTGTATTAAGAAAACAGGCAAAATATAAGCCCCGCCCACGCGCCCTCTCTCAATTGTGATGATTTTTTTATTCGCCGTGAACCAAGAGGGCGGAGCTTAACTGCAAAATACTTATTTCTTTACAAGAAATTAAAACCATGTTTTTGAGTATCGTCTTGTTCATCAATTAAGCTCTGCACCTCCGCTTACGATGAATAAAAAATTCATCAGGAATGAGATAGGGTGGGTGGGCGGGGCTTATATTTTGCCTTTGTTTTTTTAATTACATAGCCATCTTTTCACAAGAAGAAACTTAAAACATGGTTAAAATGGTACATTTTTGCAAGAAAATATGCATTTGGCAATTATGGGACCGAGTCTAATTGCAAAATCGGTATTTCCTTATACAAAATTTCCACTTTAAACATGTTTTAAGTTTCATGTTGTGAAAAGAAGTCTACACATATTCAAACAAAAAGGCAAAATGTAAGCCCGCCCACCCGCCCTATCTCAATTGTGATGATTTTTTTTATTCGCCTTGAACCAAGAGGGCGGAGCTTAACTGCAAAATACTTACTTCTTTGCAAGAAAATAAAAGCATGTTTCTGAGTATCGTGTTGTTCAAAGAATAATACGCATATTAAGAAAAAAAAGACAAAATATAAACCCCGCCCACCCACCCTATCTCAATTGTAATGATATTTTTTATTCTTTGAAACTTAAAACACATTTAAAATGATAGATAAATTTTTGTTCGGAAATATGGACTTTGCAAATAACCTCCGCCCCTAGGTCTGGCAACGAATAAAATCTTCATTACTACTTAGATCAGGGCACATATGGGTGGGGCTTAATCTTTGGCTTTAATTTTTCCGTAATATATATAATATTCTTTGCACAACACGATACTCAAAAACATTTTTTAATTTCCCGTAGAGAAATAAGGATTTTGCAGTTAAGCTTCGGCAAGCGGCTCACGACGAAAAAAAAATCGTCAGAATTGAGACAGGGTGGGTGGGCGGGGCTTATATTTTGTCTGTTTTTATTAATATCCATAGCCATCTTTTCACAACAAGAAACTTAAAACTTGGTTAAAATGGTATATTTTTGCAAGGATATATGGATACATAGGGTGGAATCTAATTACAAATCGGAATTTCCTTATACAAATTTTCCATTTTAAACATGTTTTAAGTTTCATGTTGTGAAAAGAAGTCTGCACATATTAGAACAAAGAGACAAAATGTAAACCCGCCCACCCCACCTAATTCAATTGTGATGAATTTTTTTTATTCGCCGTGAATCAAGAGGGCGAAGCTTAACTGCAAAATACTTATTTCTTGACAAAAAAAACAATTTTCAGCAATGTCAACGTCAACAAGTTTATAAATCCCACGTAAGTAAGTGAAGACATTCGATGAACGAATTTTCAAAAACTATAGACATATTTTAATTCTACCACTTATATTTTTTCTGATTGTTATTTTCTGAAAATTTACGTCTTAGGGTATTATTTTCACAAAATTTTCGTTCCAGATTTTTTTTTGTAGGAATATGATGAAACACCGCCACCAACCTAACATTCCAAAAACCACTTCCCAGTTGTCAAACAAGCTTACCTAACCTCACTTTTATTCAATTTTGTTACATACACTTAAAAATTAGTTGAAAAGTGTGTTACTTTATCAAAACAGAATGTCTGAGGCCGCCCCCACACTCGACAAGTCGAAACGCAAACGCAAAAAGTCGTTTTTAAAGAACGCCCGCAAGTACGCCAAAAAGGGGTGCTACGGCCGTGGAAGTCAGCTGGACGCGGATACTTACCAATACTTTGTACGTATAATGGAGGCTTACAGAGAGGGGTTCGATTCCGAAGACGACAAATGTAAGTTTTGGAGTTCACACGTGCCCGACATAACCTCACTTTTTAGCAATTTTTGTCAACAATGTTTTTGAGCAGACGATAGACCAAGAAATTAACTGTTGCTGTAATCAGGTTGGATGTCGCGTTGTGGAGACGTTGCTACCTTTTGCAAATGATATGGTGGTGAAGCGGTACATGGACGTGTTTAGTAATGAATTGAGGCCTTTATGTTCCGACAGATTTGCTTCACATGTATTGGAGGCTTTAGTACGACAAGCAGCGACTTGCTCACTTCGAGAAAACCTTGATACGGAATTCCGGAAAAAATGTACAGAATTTGTTATAAGAGTTAGTAGATTTTTGTTAAATAATTTGGAAGATTACTTGTGGGATACATATGGAAGTCATGTTGTTAGAACATGTTTAGAGAGCTTAGCTCAGATTCCTAAAGAGGATAAAACTAAGCCCAAAATCAACGAACAAGAAACCACTGAAATCCCCCTACCTGATGAATACACGGAAATTATTAAAGACTGCACAGACCGAATAATGCATTGGCCCCAATTTCCAGAACTGTGTAACACTGAAACCAGCTCAGGCTTTCTACAAGTGTTACTAAAATCAGTGAAAAAAACTGACTCAAAATTGTTAAAAACACTCTTAGGAAAACTAATTTCAACGAATTTTGCGCCCGAAAGTGAGCCCCCGGCTTCTAGTGACGTACTTCCAAATATTTTTCTGTCAAAACCCGCCATGATGGTTCTAGAAACGGCCCTAGATGTCGCTAAAAAGAAAAAGTTCACGCAAATCTACGCCAAATGTTTTTCAAGTAGGCTTGTCAAGTTGGCCACCACAAGAAGTACCAACTTCAGCGTGCAAAAATTAATTCTCAATTGTAAAGAAAAATCAGAGGTTTGTTTACTAGTACTATTTCGTTTTAATTGCAAACTAATTTATTATTACAGTTTGAGGCCATTTTTGACGAGTTGGGGGATAATTTCAGTGACATTATTAAAGTTGGCCACACTGGAATAATCTGGGCTTTGGCTCAAAGCTGCAAACGATTGGCCACCAAGCAGGGTATTTTTATGCAAAATTTGATGAAAAGTCTGGACTGCAGTGCGGACGAAAGACAGAGCCAATTTATTTTATGTTTGTGTCGGTTTAGGGATTTTCAGTCTTCACAAAATGACACTAAAGCCGACCTACAAAAGGAAAAACTGAATTTGCAGGGGACTTTAACTTTACAAGTACTTTTAGACTTTAACAAACCCATTAAAATCGTTAATGGTTTGCTTGATATGGAGCAAAGCGAGTTGTTGGGGTTGTTTTCCAATACCATGGGCAGCCATATTGTTGATTCGTACGTCAAGAGCGTGTTCGTTGGGGAAAAAAGTAGAGAGAGATTAGTGAGGAAAATGAAGGTTGGTATTTTAACACAAGTTATAATTTTCTTTCGGTTTTATTTGACTTTTAATAACTAATTTGTGGACACATTATGAATTGACTTTTCTTATAGTTATTATAGAAACGAACAAATGTCAGTGTTACCAACTCATGTTCATTATTATTATCAGGGTGCGTATCAGGAGCTAGCTTCAAGTAAGTACGGATCAAGGTCATTCGAGGCCCTCTGGAACGCGGCAAACATCAAAAACAAGCTATTCATCCTGGAGGAATTGGCACACAAAGATGGCGCCTGGTCGAATTCCGAGCACGGCAAAATCATAGCCAACAAAGTAAATCTGGTTTTGTTCAAACGCAACAAAGAAGAATGGAAAAACAGCCTAAACTCCACCAACAAAGCGAAGGAGTTGTTTGCAGATATTTTAAAATAAGTCTACAATAAGTGAATTTGTATATTGGGAAAGTACATCGGTTTTAAAATATAAATAAAATAAATAATAAACACTAAATAACATGGAAATGTACAATAATGAGCTACCCTAGTTTTATACATTAAAAGTCGTATACACTACCTAAAGTCATTAGGGTAACCTTAGTAGTGTCCCGACCTGAGAATTTGAACACCAATTTACTAACCGAATTGCTTTTTATATTAAACTAAATTTGTGGTTAGTAAACTGATTTTCAAGTGACTAGATTGTTATTACAACAAAAGTGGCCAAAGATAAATTGATCCGCACAAAACAACCAATGGGTGCATCCATTTATCTTTGCTGTTAGAAAGTCAAGGTTTGTAAGAAATCACGTAACGCCGATGCCGGAGGGGCGTGGTTACAGACGCAAAATGGCGCCACACCAGATTTTTGTTTTAATTTGGAAACAATTTTCGAAACCCACGATTTGTACGCCCCTGGAATCCAGCGTCGTCCCGGTAATATACAACAAGACACATAGAGAGTACTACATGTGCTTCTTTGGTATTAATGAGGAACAAATGTATAATAACGATGATCAGCATGCTTATAATAATGACTTAACGTTGAATGACGGTTAAAATTTCCTACACTTGCGGTTCTTCTTCAAGTGTCACTTCTTGAATTTGACGCTGTCGTTCTGGCCGATGTGCGTAGGTGGCGCCGTGGTGCTAGGAGTGGACGTTCGGAGCGGCCTCGACTTGTCCTTCGAACAGATCTGGTGGTGGTTCTCCCAGTCTTTGTGCTGGCAAAAGGGGCCGCAGTAGCGGGCGACGCTGCATCCGGAGCAGGTCTCGTGGGCCTTGCGGCCGCAGTTCCAGCAGGACTGCGAACGAAAGGGATTGCTATTTTGGGCGTGTGGGGTTGGCAGGAGTGCTTACGTTTTGTTGCGAAGGTTGCGGTTGGGACGCCGGCGGCGATAAGCTGTTGTCGACACTTTCTTGGGTTTCGTCGCTGTGTTTTCTTGCTTCTGAAACGGGAGGTTTAATTAAGTGTTTGAGGTGGATTTTACAAAGAAAGTGCAGTTGCTGTTCGAGGTAGTTTTTTCGAGGGATGCTGGGTTGCCGGGGGGTACATTTCTGTATAGGTTGCGGAAGTTTGGGTTGTGGGAAAGAATACGAAAGTGGGGTGCTTAGGAGGCAACGTGTTCAAGAAGTCGCCATTTTTATATATACTGTGTTTAAAAAAAAAGTACCCCTTGAAGGAGCAGATTTATGACGCTGAAATTGTATAAAAATAAGAAAGACATAAAGTCAACCATTTGATTAAATCTTGGGGGTCGTTAACGTCATTTCGCTACTACAAGACCTTCCAGAAGTAATTTTCCAACAAGATAACGCCCACGCTCATGTCGCTAACATTCTAGTGTGCGGCACTTATTATTGTAAATAAATATCATTCGTATTATTTGACTTTAAGGCCTTGTAGGTAAGCGAAGAAAAACGTTGCTGCCTCGGTGGGAATCGAACCACACGCCCCCCGCTTGCCGGGCAGGTATCCTGACCACTAGACCACGAGGCCGCTTATCTATCTCCGCTTACTACTACTTATTATTGTGTCGTCACACCTTACTTGTTTCTACAAAATTTCAAAGTTCTAGGACTGTTTGAAACGCAGTTTCAGTTTTGTGTAGTGTGAAGATGAAATATATCAATAGTGACAGTTTCTTGCTTTATTGACCGTGTCTCTGACTTGAAGATTAAAATGCATAGAAACATATTTACATTTAGGAGCGGATGGGAGGCGCTGAACCAGCGAGGGAAAAATTTGAAAGACCAAGATTTTATTTTAAAGTATGTAAAATTTGGATACGGGCATTCTGGTGTGCCACGGCTACTGACATCAGTGGAAAAATCCCGATTTCCAGGTGATCCCATCCGCCTCTACCTCTGATGTCTTGTCTTTGAAGTATTTTGAAAGAACCCCCGGGACTACTTGTCTTCTATTTTTTTGAAGTGAAATGAAAGAATCTCTGGGATCATTTGTATTTTGTTTTTAAAGTAGTTTTAAAGAATCTCGGGGATCGGTTGTGTCTAGTATTTGAAGTAGATTAAAGGAATCTCGAGAACCACGTCTGTTTTGTTCTTGAAATAGTTTGAAAGGAACCCCTTTGTTTTTTTTTTTGAAATATTTGAAAGAATCTTGGAAGCCTTGTGTCTGGTATTTGAAGTAGTTTGTAAAAATGTCGGGCACTTCTTGTGTCTGGTATCTTAAGTTGTTTTAAAGAATCCCAAGGACCCCTTGTGTCTGGTATAAGTAGTTTAAAAGAAACTGGGAGACCTCTTTCGTTTTAATTTTGAAGTAGTTTAAAAGAATTTTGTGGACCCCTTTTGTTTTGTTTATGAAGTTGTTTGAAAGGATCTCCCTTGTGCCTGGTTTTTGAGGTAGTTTGATAGAATCTCGGGAACACTTATGTTTTGCAGTTGAAGTAGTTTAAGAATCTCAGGGAATCTTTTTGTTTTGTTTTTGAAGTATTTTGAAAGATTCTCGGGAACCCATTGTGTCTGGTTTTTAAAGTAGTTTGATAAAATATCGGGCACCCTTGTGCTCTGTATTTGAAGTAGTGTAAGAATCTCGAGGAATTCTATTGTTTTGTTTTTGAAGTAGTTTGAAAGAATTTCGGGAACCCATTGTGTCTGGTACCTGAAATATTTTGAAAGAATCTCGGACATCTCTTGTATATGGTATCTGAAGTAGTTTGAAAGAATCTTGGGGACCCCTTCTGAAGTAGTTTAAAAGAATCTCGGGGACCTCTTGTATCTGGTTTTTGAGGTAGTTTGATAGATTCTCCGGTACTCTTGTGTTTTGTATTTGAAGTAGTCTAAGAATCCAAGGAAATCTTTTTTTTTGTTTTTGAAGTAGTTTGAAAGCATCTCGGGAACCCAATGTGTCTGGTATCTGAAGTAGTTTAAAAGAATCTTGGGGACCCTTTTTTAAAAAATTTTAAAGAATCTTGGGAACCCAATGTGTCTGGTACCTGAAGTAGTTTGAATGAATCTCGGGTACGTCTTGTGTCGGATATCTGAAGTAGTGCAAAAGAATCTCGGGAACCACATTCGTCTTATTTTTGAAATAGTTTAAAAGAATTTTGTGGACCCCTTTTGTTTTGTTTTTGAAGTAGTTTGAAAAGATCTCCCTTGTGCCTGGTTTTTGAGGTAGTTTGATAGAATCTCGGGAACACTTGTGTTTTGCAGTTGAAGTAGTTTAAGAATCTCAGGAATCTTTTTGTTTTGTTTTTGAAGTATTTTGAAAGATCCTCGGGAACCCATTGTGTCTGGTATCTGAAATATTAGTTTGAAAGAATCTCGGGAGCCCCATGTGTCTGGTTTTTAAAGTAGTTTGATAAAATATCGGGCACACTTGTGTTCTGTATTTGAAGTAGTGTAAGAATCTCGAGGAATTCTATTGTTTTGTTTTTGAAGTAGTTTGAAAGAGTCTCGGGAACCCATTGTGTCTGGTACCTGAAATATTTCGAAAGAATCTCGGGCACCTCTTGTATATGGTATCTGAAGTAGTTTGAAAGAATCTCGGGGACCCCTTCTGAAGTAGTTTAAAAGAATCTCGGGCACATCTTGTGTCAGGTATCTGATGTAGTTTAAAGAAATCTCGAGGACCCCATTCGTTTTAATTTTAAAGTAGTTTAAAAGAATTTTGTGGACCTCTTTTGTTTTGTTTTTGAAGTAGTTTGAAAGGATCTCCCTTGTATCTGCTTTTTGCGGTAGTTTGATAGAATCTCGGGAACACTTGTGTTTTGCAGTTGAAGTAGTTTAAGAATCTCAGGGAATCTTTTTGTTTTGTTTTTGAAGTATTTTGAAAGATCCTCGGGAACCCATTGTGTCTGGTACCTGAAATATTTTGAAAGAATCTCGGGCACCTCTTGTATATGGTTTCTGAAGTGGTTTGGAAGAATCGCGGTTACTTCTTGTGTCTACTATCTGAAGTAGTTTGAAACAATCCCAAGGAACCCTTGTGTCTGGTATCTGAAGTAGTTTAAAAGAATCTTGGGGACCCTTTTCTTAAAGTAATTTCAAAGAATCTTGGGAACCCAATGTGTCTGGTACCTGAAGTAGTTTGAATGAATCTCGGTTACGTCTTGTGTCGGGTATCTGAAGTATTTCAAAAGAAATTCGAAAACCACATTCCTTTTATTTTTGAAGTAGTTTGAAAGAATTTCGGGCACCTTTTGTGTGTGGTATCACAAGCAGTTTGAAAGAATCTCGGGGACCCCTTTTGTTTTATTTTTGAAGTAGTTTAAAAGAATCTCGAGGACCCATTGTGTCTAGTATCTGAACTAGTTTGAAAGAATCTCGGACATCTATTGTGTCTGATTCTGAAGTAGTTTAAAAGAATCTTGGAGACCCCTTTTCTTTTAATTTTGAAGTAATTTAAAAAAAATTTGGAGACCACTTTTGTTTTGTTTTTGAAGTAGTTTGAAAGAATGTCGGGAACCCATTTTGTCTAGTATCTGAAGTAAATTAAAAAAATTTTGGAGACCCCTTTTGTTTTGTTTTTGAAGTAGTTGAAAAGAATCTCGAGAACCTATTGTGTCTGGTATCTGAACTAGTTTGAAAGAATCTGGGGGACCCCTTGTGTCTGGTATCTGAAGTACTCCGAAAGAATCTCAGGCACCTCTTGTGTCCGATATCTGAAGTAGTTTGAAAGAATCTCGGGAACCCCTGGTGTCTGGTATCTGAAGTAGTTTAAAAGAATCTCAGGCACCTCTTGTGTCTGGTATCTGATGTAGTTTAAAGGAATCTCGAGAACCCCATTTGTTTTAGTTTTGAATTTGTTTAAAAGAATTTTGTGGACCCCTTTTGGTTTATTAGTAGTTAGTAGTAGTTTGAAAGGACCTCCCTTATGTCTGGTTTTTGCGGTAGTCTGATAGAATCTCGGAAACATTTGTGTTTTGCAGTTGAAGTAGTCTAAGATTTCAGGGAATCTTTTTGTATTGTTTTTGAAGTAGTTTGAAAGAATTTCGGGAACCCATTGTGTCTGGTATCTGAAACATTTTGAAAGAATCTCGGGCACCTCTTGTGTATGGTATCTGAAGTAGTTTGAAAGAGTCTCGGGGACCTCTTCTGAAGTAGTTTAAAAGAATGACGGGGACCCCTTGTATTTGGTGTTTGAGGTAGTTTGATAGAATCTCCGGTACTCTTGTGTTTTGTATTTGAAGTAATCTAAGAATCTTAGGAAATCTTTTTTTTTGTTTTTGAAGTAGTTGGAAAGAATCTTGGGGACCCTTATTTTTAAGTAATTCCAAAGAATCTTGGGAACCCAATGTGTCTGGTACCTGAAGTAGTTTGAAAGAATCTCAGGCATGTTTTGTGTCGGGTATCTGAAGTAGTTCTCGGTGACCCATTTTATTTTGTTTTTGAAGTAGTTTAAAAGAATCTCGAGAACCCATTGTGTCTGGTATCTGAACTAGTTTAAAAGAATCTCGAGAACCCATTGTGTCTGGTATCTGAACTAGTTTGAAAGAATCTCGGACATCTCCTATGCCTGATATACGAAGTAGTTTAAAAGAATCTGGGGAACCCATTTTATCTAATATCTGAAGTAATTTGGTAGAATCTCGGGGACCCCTTTTGTTTTGTTTTTGAAGTAGTTGAAAAGAATCTCGAGATCCTATTGTGTCTGTTATCTGAACTAGTTTGAAAGAATCTGGGGGACCCCTTGTGTCTGGTATCTGAAGTACTCCGAAAGAATCTCTTGTGTCCGATATCTGAAGTAGTTTGAAAGAATTTCGGGGATCCCTTTCGTTTTAATTATGAAGCAGTTTAAAAGAATCTTGGAAACCCCTTTCGTTTTAATTTTGAAATAGTTTTAAAAAATCTCGGGGTTCCCTTTCGTTTTATTTTTGAAGTAGTTTGAAAGAATCTCGGAGACCCCTTTTGTTTTGTTGTTGAAGTAGTTTGAAAAAATCTTGGGAACCCATTGTGTCTAGTATCTGAAGAAGTATGAAAGAATCTCAGAGACCCCTTTTGTTTTGTTTTTGAATAGTTTGAAAGAATTTTGGGTATCCTTTGTCTTGTTTTCAGAGTAATTTGAAAGAATCTCGGGGACCTCTTTTGTTTTGTTTTTTGAAGTAGTTTGAAAGGATCTTGGGAACCCTGTGTGTCTGATGTTTGAGGTAGTTTGATAGAATCTCGGGAAATCTTGTGTTTTGTTTTTGAAGTAGTTTGAAAGAATCCCAAGGACCCCTTGTATCTGGCATCTCAAGTAATTTAAAAGAATCTCGGGAACCTCTTTTGCTTTGTTTTTGAAGTAGTTTGAACGAATCTTGGAAACCCATTTTGTCTGGTATCTGAACTAGTTTGAAAGAATCTCGGGGACCCCTTGTGTCTCGGATCTGAACTGAAGTAGTTTAAAAGAATCTCGGGAACCCCTTTCGGTTTGTTTTTGAAGTAGTTTGAAAGAATCTCGAAGATCCCTTTTGTTTTGTTTTTGAAGTAGTTTGAAAGAATCTCGAGATCCCATCGTGTCTGGTATCTGAAATAATTTGAAAGAATCTCAGGGACCCCTTGTGTCTGGTATCTGAAGTAGTTTAAAAGAATCTCGGAATCCCTTTTGTTTTGTTTTTGAATAATTTGAAAGAATTTTGGGTATCATTTGTCTTGTGTTTGAAGTAATTTGGAAGAATCTCGGAAACCCCTTTTGTTTTATTTTTAAAGTAATTTGAAAGGATCTCGGGGACCCCGTGTGTCTTTTTTTTGAAGTAGTTTGATAGAATCTTCTTGTGTTTTGTATTTGAAGTAGTCCGTAATCTCAGTGAACTCTTTTGTTTTGTTTTTGAAGTAGTTTGAAAGAATCTCGGAGACCCCTTGTGTCTTGTTTTTGAAGGAATTTGATAGAATGTTGGGAACCCCTTGTGTTTTGTTTTTGAAGTAGATTGAAAGAATATTGAAGTCCAGTGATCTTCATTTTTTTTTAATTAATTTCAATATTACAGACTGGTCATAAAAAATACGCACTTCCGATCTCTTTGCCTTCCTTGATTTTTTTCCTTTTACAATTAATAGTTGAGTATACATCCATATATAAAAAAAACTAATTCAGAGCACTCCTGTCAAAACCACCCTCATCACCACTCACACCCCTTACCAGCCAAAATCTTCTCCATCTTGGCCCTTTCCGCCGCCACCAGCTCGTTCGCCTTGCTCTCCGCCGCCGCCACCGCCTTCTGTAGCTCGATCACCGCCTGCCTCTTCACGTCGTTCACCGCGTCCTCCGCCCGCCGCCTCACTTCCGCCACCCGATCCTCCGTCTGCCGCACGGCCTGGAGCATAATCTCGTTGGCCGCCTTCTTCAAATCCACGCTGACGTCCTGCTTCCGCAGCCACTCATTGGTCAAATCCTGGCTGTTCCGCTGCTGCAGAATCGTCAGCGCCCGTTTGGTCTTCTCCACCATCGACAGGATGCAGTTGAGCATGACGTGAATATTCCTCCACTCCTCGTCCCCCCGGTTGGGGTTGTTGTTGTTGTCCTCCACGCGCTGCGGCAAATGGTTGTGCTGGTTGTAGTCGAAAAGGTGAGAGCTAGGCACCGTGGAGCCCATATTGGGTAGGAGCAGGCTCTGGTGGGAGAAGAGGAAGGTGTTCTGGGAGTTCATGGGGCGCTTGACGGAGAGGCAGTCTTGGGGGTCGTGGGACTGGCCGTTAGTGCCGTTTTCGTATATGCTAGAAAAGAGGGAAAATTATTTAGGCTAAAAACAACAGCGTTCTTTATGGGGCGGGGTTTGCTCGTCCAATGAAATTCGCTGCTACCTCGTCTCGTTTAGTATTTTTGCCACTCACGGTTTTTTGCTACTCGTACGCAGTTATACGTAAGGTCACGGTGTAATCAAATCCCGCTAAGCGCACCCCTTTAATGAAAACGTCAAGCACCCACAAAAACCCTCAACCCTTCCACCCTTCCCCCCCTAACGACACCCCTACACCGACCCATCGAAAAAACTAATAATAAGTTACGTATAGTTGAAGGAATTCGCTCATTTCCGCCGCCTCCGCTCCATTTAAATACGCTATTAGCTCGTGTACGGCGTTGAAAGAGTGGAAATCCGTCGAGCGATTGATTAACATGACACAAACAAGCAGAAATTAACGTTTTCGTCCTAAAATTTCAAAAGTTCACGTCAGTGTTGTAATTAAAAGGCAAGAGGCCCGTGTAAGTGACGTTGAAAAAGGGTGGTTGGCGGGGGACGTTTCCTGGTAAAAAGAGCGCTGTTCCCGCCAGATGGCACCGGCGGCGCAACGTGCGCCTGGCCCGCCAACTGAAAGAAACCATTACTCATTTTAATAAAACGGTCGCATGCAGGCTATTGAATAGAGCGGATCGGGCTTCAGCGAGGAGGTTGAGGTCTGGGGCTCACCTGTCGGAGGCGCGGCGCTTGAGGCCGCCGGTCTCGCTCGACATGAAGATCTCGGACAGCTCGGACGGCGAGTGGGTCGAGTCGAGGATGACGTGGTCGTGGGAGCGGACGTACTGCAGGGGAGACTGAAAGAGAGAGTTGATTAGTGGAGCGGAGTCGAAGGGCGCCAGATTGAGATTCACCAGGGGAACGGAGCTGATTTAAATGTGGAATGTTGGACTGTTTCACTGAAGAAACTTTAGTTATTTTTGAAACACAAAATCTTGGAATGATTTGGTCAACAAGATTTCGTTTCAAGATTAAATGGTTACCCAGTAAACACAGTTGTGATGTTGACGTGACGGGTACGTACTCACAAAAGAACAATAAGTACATCGCATGATTATATCTTAACGATATACCTGGAACGTAAGCTATATAACATCACAATGGAGTACTCATGCTATGTAACCAACACGTAATGTTGACTACATTTACTAGATATCTCATTATTATGTCGCAGCGATATAGTTGGCAGGTAAGCCTTGTAACATCACAATGGAGTAGGTACTACGGTTATGTAACCAATAAGTAATGTTAACTGTAGTTACCAGATATCTGATTAATATACATGCTTCGGAATGTTTTATTGTTATTAGTTAATTATGTAAAGTGTTTTTCAGTTCATTTTACAAAATGGCATGTTAAATCGAAAATTAGCGTTTCTGACAGGGCAACAGCAAAAAACATTTAAAAACATACATATCGAGTATTATATACGAGTAGCTCTATTTTATATTTATTATTTATGTTTGTGTTGCAAGTAAATAGTATATTCATAAACAAAATATGTTGAATCTTAAAAAAAGAAATTTCTTCCCTGTCTTAAATCTTGCACAAGCGAGATGACGCCAATAGTGAGTTGCTCTTAATTTTTTTTTTTCATATTATATTTTCTGTAATATTTATTTATAATTTTATTTTTATACGTCCATAACGACCTGCGCTTTATAAAACAGAACAAGAGACTTAATGCACATAGTTTATGATCAGAATTAAAAAATGTCCCATCTAACAGGTAATACGAATTAAGACTAGTAATGAGATATTATTTTTTAACCTCTGCCTATGCGTCACTGCCAAAAAGGAACAATTATACATATACAGAATTTTGAAATGAGCTCGAAAAATAAAATGATATATTTCATCATTTTATTAATTCTAATGCAAAATATGTTGATCGGCAACAAAAGCAACACAAAGAAAAAATCGAAATTAAAAAACTAATCTCTTTCAAGGTCAGCGATATCGTTCTTAAATAAAAATGAATTAAATAATTTCTTCACTTTGATCGTAAGGAAAATAAACAATAATTTGAATACGAAACAATAATTGATCATCGAGTTTTGTGTATTGACTTTCGCACTCAGTTATAGGTATATGTGTTTAACATTAAATTTTCAAAAGTTTAGATTTTTCCAATGTAATCTTGGGCTCTAAAGTAAACTAGTAATGTATAATGCATAATTATAATTGAGTACTTTCGTGGTTGATCTTTAAATTATTTATTCAAAAAATTCACTTAATTTCATATCCAATATGTAGCTAACTGAAAACTGATAATAAAGCAGCAGATATGACGAAATAGTGTAGACTTTTTTAATGTCGGTAATAGAGTGTATGTATAATAACTAGAGAGCGGAAAATATGCAGCAAAATTTTGGGAAATATGATCATATGACATTCATCAAATTTATGCAAATATGCAATAACTTTCTTAATATATGCAGAGATATGCAGTTGCATATGCTCCAAAAATAAAAAAAAGCGTAATAACCGAACTAAATTTATTTACAAATTGCAAAAACACCTTACCATTTATTACAAAAAATACATAAATCACATTGCAAAGTGTTTAATTAGATCTCACTGACAAATAAATGACATTTTTAAGATAATATTCTTATACTAAAAAATAAATATAGGTAAACAGAACGAATTAAAAAATAATAGTAAACGACTATTTAATTACTATTTCGGTAACAATTTATTTTTAAATATTTTTCGAAATATTCTAACAAAAATTTTTCCGGTGATTCTAAAGTATGTATTTGTAAATAGAAAAACTGCGTACTGCCTCCACAGATATAAAAATACTTATCGGATTAGAGCAGGCACAACAAAACACAGTTTCTTCTTGAAGAATAAGTTCAGGAAAAGGTTTAATTCTTAAATTAATTTGAGTTATCTACATATTGACACACATCTCTATCGCTTTAAATACTTAAATGCAAACTCACGATGAAAAATAATAGGATAACGTCCCTTCAACCACCATAAAACATACCATTAATACACTTAAGTAACGAACAAAAATATTGAAATGAACGGTATTTCCAAAAGTAATTAGGACCCGAATTTACCTGGAAGGATGGCTTAACACCCAGTGGTTCCTCCAAACTACCATAAAACCCAAACCTTTCCCAGTTATTTGAAGCTGAGGACAATATTTACAATATGATTAATGAAATTTCGTCTTTCTAGAAAAATGCCGATCGAATGGCATTTTTTTTTTCAAAGTAGCACAAAAATTACGTTACGTGAAATATGCAGCAGAAGGCAAATGTATGCAAATATGCAATTTTTTTATAGCTGTATTCATTTTTAATTAGCATGATTCGTTCACATATTGAATATCAAGAGTTATATGCAAAAAATAACGGATATGCAAATTTCATAAAATCCGCTCTCTAATAATAACCAATACATCGGGTATGTTTCTGTTTTTGTCTTCGTTCGACACCACTGTATTTACAGTATACGTTTCCGCTCCTAAAATCCCACGTACGACATCCTTTGCCCATGTAAATACAGCATTTGGAATGAAGACAGAAACAGAAATAGTTTTACAACACCTTACCAAAATTTAAAAAAACCACTATGGTATTATTTGAAATTTATTGTTAAAGATTATATGGTCAATTAGATGTGGGTCGTCGTATTCTTTAAAAAGTGACCTTCGTCAGTGAGTTCGTAATGCTTAATTAATAATTATATTCAGAGCGAAAAATACAACGGCTTTATTAGAAATACACCAAAGACAAGTTTTTTTCATTGTAATAATTTCTAAGAATTATTTCTGTAAACCTGTTCACTTGAAATGTTATTTTGTAAGTACCTGCTTGGCAAATTATAAATAGAACATCTGTAAGGTGACCAGATTTCAAAAGTCCGAAATCGGAACATTAGTTTCCATTTCCATCGTAATCTGATATATAACTGCTTTGAAAATTTTTAGTTGTAATATACTAACAGTACTGACATTTAAAACAGTGCTGACAACCGTATCGATACAAGTTTTGTTCCCAATTTTTCACAAAATAAAATTACTATTCATGAAAATTAGTGATTTATCCGAGGATTTATCTTTATTCTTATCAGATTTATAGAAATCGGAACATTCACGGAACGAATGTTTTAATCGAAACATTTATTGGACGAAATTTGAAATCGGAATTAGAGTAATGAAATCGGTACAATTCCGATCAAATCGGAACGTCTGGTCACCTTAAACATCTGGGGTAATATAGGGAAGACCCAACGACACAAACAAAGCCATAAAAATTCTTTGCCCATTGTCCCTGAAACGGGACAAGGTTTTGAAGAGTTCATTCGTCGAATTTTGATTTTATAAAGACGTTTATAAAGCGGTGATGGGTAGCAAAAAAATTAGAGAGTGGTTAATTTTGATTTTATTAAATTTATTTCATCTAATGAAAAAATAACGCTCAACTTCTGCATTTACTATCCACCAGATGTTTGGGGGGTGCAGTCGGACCTTTGTTGGTTTGGTTTGTCTATGAGTCGGACGATCCCTTTTTTCCGTATTTATGGTTATTGCACTTCACACTCACAGTGAAGCTGTCGAATTCCATTTGGCCATTTGGTTCACAACCACCGAACCTTTCTCGTGAATCCGTAACTCACTTCATTTTTAATGCAGTTTTGTGAAAATTGTGCCATTCAGTGTGGGTTGTATTTACACTAGGTAAGTTAATATAATTCTAATGAAGTAATCATTTTAATTTTTACATGCTTCTGTTGTTTTTGATAACTGTACGTAAATAACAACAACAGTTTTTTAGATAAGCTGGAAATACCACCATTAATCACTGAAGATACTCCTGCTGATTTTGAAGAACTTACGGTGATTGTTTTTGAAAGTGAGGCGCTTTGCCATAACATGTTGCAAAGGTATGTTACTGCAATTTTTTATGAACTAGGTGCTAATGAACATAATTTTACTCTAGACTTGAAACAAATACAAAAAATATGTGCGAAACAAAAGAAATTATAAAGGAAACGAGTGAACAAATCTCCAATATGAAAACGTCATCAAATGTGACAAATCAAAAAGAAAACAGTAATAGAAGATATGCCGCCAAAACCACAGGTAAACAAATTTTTAGGAATTAGAAGATTATCTCTGCCTACTACAACAAGCAGGTTTCTTTGTAAGTTAAAAAAAGACAATAAATTTATATGTACTTACATATAACATAATTTTGGATATTATATACAGGTAGATGCCTGTAAAACTATAACATTTTTTAGGAACCTACTAAACATGACACATTTCGCTTAACACGTTACATACATAGTGGGTTGCAGAAAAGTCTTATAGTGAAGCACCCTGTATGTTATACATACGCGGTGACTTCCAAATAGATTCGGAAAAAAAATTCTTTAATTGTCACACGGATTCAAAGTAATTAAATTGCTGCTCCAGTTTCAAGAAACAAATACGGAACATCTTGTTAAATGTAAATGATGCGGCAATGATTTATTCAGTTTCCATTGTGACAAAATTTTTTCTTTGTTTTTGCTGTGTGTTGCTTAGATGAAAACAAATGGCACTGAATGAGGTGTAGATCTTGATATTTTTTCCCCTGAATTAGGACTAGATAAAAAAAATTACTTAAAATTTTCTCTACTTCGTGATGTTGTGGTTTTATTTGCCGAACTTATTTCAGAGTCACTAGATATATATAGACATAAAAATATTTTCTTCTTTTCTTATTTCAGGAACTGCTATTGTCCCAGATAGGTGGTAATGGGAAAAAGAACAATGTGGGGCGTGTATTAA